TTTCCAAGAAGGCTAACAATTGTAGGGATTAGGCTTTCTGTCACTTTCAAGTCCCTAGGAATTCACCACCATACACGTGCCTTGCACTTAATTTCCAAAACATTCCTTCAGCGGCGTAGAAGGTGCCAGGTTTTACTTGAACCCTTGAGAACAGTTAAATCTATCTGGAAAGACTTCCATGTCTATGGCTTTGTGATGGATGGACATCAACAAATCTTTTGAGGAAACATAATTTAATCCACAATAGCAGGTCACCCCATCTTTATGATTCTAGAAGTTATCAACTCTCAACGCATATTAGAATCACTTGAGGGAATGTTAAACACACACATATATATACATACACACACACACTCCAATGATCCTTCCATTCTTCTCATTATAAATTAAATTAGAGTATCTGCAGGAAGCCTGGGCATTAGTAAACTTTAAAGTAATTCTCATATGCATCCACTGCCCATAACACTTCATAACCTTAAAGAATAACTACTAAAGTGACATTAAGTATGACCTCCTCTCTCCAAAATGCATCCTTTCCAAACCAGCTTAAACTAACTTTAAGTGGTACCTTGAACTCTTATGTTTCCCTCAGTAAATTTTGAACCAAAAGTAAAATTGTCTATTTTAATAACATCAAGAAAGGGCCCAACAATTTATCTCAGCCAAGAGAAAAACTATCTGGCAATTTAATCTCCCAAATTCAACATTTTTTAATGTTAAGTTAACCTAGATACATATTTGACACTTTTTTTACTGACACAAACTTGTCTTAGAGCAAAAAAGACAATTGTTCATTCCAGAGACACTAATAAATATTTCTGATCAGCGAAAACTGTGACCTGTCCAAGATAAGGGTCAACCAAGAACACAAAATTTTTTCAAAAAATGATTTGGGAGTGGGGAGAAATTCTTGGTTTCAGATAAATGAGATTTTTTTCCTTTATACTTCCTCATTTCTTTGTGGGTTTTTCCCTCCCCATTTAAAGAAACTGGAATTAGGAAGCCATCTCTTGCTATCTGTTTGCTTACTCTCACCGCCAGTTTTTCTTTTCTAATTTACATTCATAAGAAACAGCATTTTCTGAAGATTACTCATGCTGAGATGACCAGCAGCGAGCCTACTGAGATCCTATAGGATGCTAAATGAGTCAAAAGGACCAAGGAGGAATGAAATGAGTGTTCTTAATTTAAGCAGGTCAAAGCTACTGCATCGTGCACTCACCTGGCATTTTTTCTCTTCTCTGAACACTCACATGCCTGCAATGCATTTAAGGCACTTTTCTTTCCTGCCAGATCTGTAAGGGGAAAGATTCCATTCTCCTTCCTAAGGTGTCAAGCTTCATTGTTATTGATGGCTACAAACCTGCAATTACTTGATGAAGCTAATGGGTAAAAGCACTTAAAAAGCTATGTTTTGTGGTTCCAATGTCATAGTTGATGTAAAACAAACCAGACCCAACACAGCCTGACAAGCTTTCAGCCTATTATTATTGGGGGCTTATTTAAATTACAGATTTGATTAAATTTATAATTTAACCATTGTACTTAGCATGCTTTCCTTTAAAAACTAACCCCAAAGTGAAAGTGAAAGTCACTCAGTCATGTCTGACTCTTTGCAACCTCATGGATTATACAGTCCATGGAATTCTTCAGGCCAGAATACTGGAGTGGATAGCCTTTCCCTTCTCCTGGGGATCTTCCCAATCCAGGGATCAAAGCCGGGTATCCCACATAGTAGGCGGATTCTTTACCAGCTGAGCCACAAAGGAAGCCCAAAAGAGACGCTTAAAATTTTCCTACCTCCAAGCTATAAGATGAGAAAAATGTCAAGTGGCTTGGATGGTCAGAGGGAAGGGTTAGAGTGTACTTAGAATTAGTTCAATTCAGTTCAGTCGCTCAGTTGTGTCCAGCTCTTGGCGACCCCATGGACTGCAGCACGCCAGGCTTTGCTGTCCATCACCAACTCCCGGAGCCTACTCAAACTCAAATCCGTCATGTCAGTGATGCGATCCAACCATCTCATCCTCTGTTGTCCCCTTCTCCTCCCACCTTCAATCTTTCCCAGCATTAGGGCCTTTTCCAATGAGTGGGTTCTTTGCATCAGGTGGCCAAAGTATTGGAGCTTCAGCTTCAGCATCAGTCTTTCCAATGAATATTCAGGACTGATTTCCTTTAGGATTGACTGGTTTGATTTCCTTGCAGCCCAAGGGACTCTCAAGAGTCCTCCCCAACACCACAGTTGTTAGAATAGTACTAACACTAAGTACTAATAGTACTTAGAATAGTAAACTTAAATACAAATCTAATTTCACAGCTAACTACTTTTTACTGCTTTGTCAATGGATATAACATACATATTTCATCCTTTTTTTTAAACTCCCCTATTAATTCTGCCATTGCATTGGAAAAAGAGCAGTATTAAAAAAAAAAAGTCCCCCATGTCATCCTCCCTTACTTATCCCTTCTTGATCAGATAAGCTCTTAACAAAGCATGAAGTGATTGCATTAAATTTTAATATTTTAGCTCAAGAGTAAGGACACCACTTCAGATGTCTTCCTTTGGAAAAGAGCAGTATCACCTTGAAAAGCCAGCAACATATAAATATTCCTAGGACAAATCAGTTACATTTTAGACCATTCAAAATGGGCACCATAAAGTGATAACTGATGACACACGCACAGAGATATTTTATTGCAACAAATGTGAAGGCATCTTGCAAGAAAATTAACCCCAACATAGGTGTAGTGCAGAATGAATTTGTTTCTTCATCTATTCACACAACAGTCACTGAGCACTGACCCAGGGCCAGACGTGGCACAGAGGACTAAGAACACAGAAGCAAGGCCTCGGTGTTGAGCAGGAAAGATGAGTATGCACACAGCAATTACAAGAGACTCTGGTAAGGTCCTGTAAGAAGACTCTTCTTTGCTCAAGAATCCCAGAAAAACAAGACTCTGTAGCTCTGCCTGGTTGGGAAGTGGCAGAGAGGTTATAAAAGACTTGAAACAGGAGATGGTTTTGATGTGGATATTTAAGGATAAATTATTTACAGAATTAATTGGCCAGGGAAGGACATTCCAAGGAAAAGCCACATGCTAGGCCCAGAAGAGGCCCAGGAGAGGGGAAAGTGCAAAGTGTAGCACTGCATGGCTGTGGTGTCTAGAGAGAAGTGAGAAAGGAAGCAAGAGGTGGTGTGGGTAGAACCATGAATGCTATGAGTCAAGCTAAGTGGTCTGGGCTTCATCTTCTGAGCTAAAGGGCATAATCTGGTGACTCCCAGATATTATTTCTTTTTTTAAAAATCCACACACTGTTTGTTTTTTAAAACATTGAGCCAATATTTAAACTTGAGGAATTCTGCACCCTCCCAAACAATAAAATATCTGAAGCTTTTTTTTTTTAAATATAGAACTTCCAGTGACAATAAGCCTGTATTCCCACATGGATTTAATCAGCTAGATATGAGTAGTAGAGCAGCTTCCCTACACAGGGCGTTCACTTTTCAGTTGGCCACAGTCTCTGAAATTCTCCTGGGTCTTTCTAGTACCAGGATGAGTCTCAGCTGCCATTTATCATTGAGCTTGACCTTGTTTTCCTTGCAGCAGAGAGAAATGCTTCTCTGAACCCACGTGTCTATCGCAGACAAGAGAACAAGAAATCTGGGGGAGACGCACAACAGTCTACTTTGTTCATTCACGGTAACTACCTAGCTTCCAAAGTTTATCTACTTAGATTATCTACTTAGTTTATCTACTAGACAGAAAGAGTCAACAGCTAATAAGATGGTATAATAATAATACTTTGTAATATTAGTAATGATAGTAAGTTGTAGGGTTAGGAATGGCTTAGGAGTATTATTAACTGCTATTTGACTAGAAGACTCAGGATACCTGAATTCTATCTTAGATTCTCTCCCCTGAGATGTTCTTGATGGAAATAAACTCCATGAGACAAGAGAATATGACCCATTTGATTAGTTTGAGGGAAAGTTGTGCTCCTCATTCCACTGCACAGATTTTCATGAAACTGGGCTAAAACACACAGTTTAGACTTAACACAGGCAGGCCTTTCCTGGTCTCTTCTAAAAGGCAGAGCTCAAGTGATACTGCCAGCCCCACAGAGTCTTCAGAGGAAGAGAAAGAGTAAGGTGGCCATGCCCAAACAAGGAAGGCAGCTTCCTACTCAGCTCACCACCCCGCTCAGGACACAGGACCAGAGAGCATAATGGCAGGCATGGTCCTAGCTGTTGATAATGTGAGCTAATCCACGTGCAGGAATTTGAGCATTCCTCTGCCAGATCCTTCATAAAGGCTTCCCTGGTTATAGTGTAAACAAGTTGGTTTGGGAAGGTGTCAGGAAGCATTTAACAAGAGGCTTCCTGTGTGCTGTTTTGGATCTGTCAGAAACCCTCTGGCCCTTATTAATTCCTGAATATTCAGGAATTAAGAGGAGAGGCACGCCTTTCCCCCGGGCTGAGGAATCCAGGCATTTCTTATTACGGTGATAAGTATCCTCTAGTTTTTTATGAGCCAGACAGTAAAAGGTGATTGTTTGCAACTCTCTGAGGTTATGTTTTGTAAATCTGGAATTTTAATCTTTAACTTTGCTGAGAATAACTACCTTATATATGTCCACACCTTGTTGATTAAAACACCTTTGCTCCATCAGAGCTTGGGTCCCTGTGTCTTTCTTTCTATTCATTCTGTCTTTCACTCTCTCTCTATTTCTGGCTAATTCCTTGGAGTGCGGAGGCCCACTGAGCTCACTTTGTTGCCCGGGCTTCTAAGACCCTCTCGAGAAGGCGCACTGTGCCTTCACCCACTCGAGAGGGCGCCCGGTGCCTACGTGCAGCAGCGCGAGCTGTAACAATAGGACTCTATTGGCTTTCCACGTAAACCAGGGGATATCAGCCTCTTTCTCTCTCTTACTTTCTTATCGTCGACTCCGGACCACCAGGTTCCGGTCCACTAAAGGACCAACAGGAAGGGTGACAAGAACATCAGTGAGTAAGCAAAAGCAAATGTCTATGCAGAAAATGGCACCCAGCATCAAGATGAAATGGAAATAATGTGTGTTTAACAAATGATGTAAATATAACAGTGGGACCCCAAACCCAGCGCTGTCTCCCCATTACATCCTCTCTGCAGTGCAAGGGTTGCCTCAGCTCAAGGTCAGTGCCCAGACCATGAAACAGAAACGCCAGCCAGACAAGGCAAAACGGCCCCCTGTGGGGATTATCACTCCTTATGAAACCGGACTTGGCAGAGGTCTTGGGGAGCCCACCGGGAGGTGAGACCCTGGGCAGGACACAGTTTAAGGAGAAGAAACACACACTGTTACTGGGGAAAGTTCTGTACTGCCTCTCGGTCATGACAGGGAGGAGAGGCAGGCCCACTTTCGCGAGCTGACTGCAGCCCACACAGAGAATCAGTTAACAGAGGCCAGGCTGCACGTGTTCCCTGAGGGAGAGGAGACTCTAGTCAAACTCAATATTGAGTTTGAATCTGGCACAATTTCCCTGAAACATGTGGCCAGAGGAGAACAAACACAATTGCCCCAGGGCCATTGGGAATGACAGTGACAAGACTTAACTACGTAAATGCCCAAAACAGTCAGGAGAGTGCTCAGCCATCAGTAGCAGAAAATCCCACTTTTTGGTGGCCTGAACAGAGAGAGTTTATTTGCCTCCCATCACAGGAAGTCCAGCACAGGCGGTCCTGGGGCGATGCAGTGACTGGATCAAGCTGCTGGAAATGCCAGCTCTGTTTTCCCTCCTCCGCACTCCAGTCCTTGGCTTTACCTTCATGCTTGTCACTTCTTAGTTGTCGCCAAGAGCTTCTGGCTCCCACTTCCTCCTGGGGCTCAGATTTACATTTGAAGCAGAAGGGAGTCTACAGAGGAGGGAGAATAGAACAGCTTCTCAAAAACAAGCGGAGACAAGAGGCACCTCCAGCAAAGGCTTTCATCCTCCCAGATCTACCGAATACTCAGCGACTAGACTCCTATTCATGCACTTCTGACAACAGCCAGTATCCTAATTGTTACTCTTTAGTCATTTCAGTCATGCCCGACCCTTTGTGACCCCATAGTCTGTAGCCTGCCAGGCTCCTCTGTCCATGGGATTCTTCAGGCAAGAATACTGGCGTGGGTTGCGATTTCCTTCTCCAGGGGATCTTTCCGACCCAGGGATTGAACCCATGAATTCTGCATTGGCAGGTGGATACTTTACCAGTGAGCCATCAGAGAAGACCATCCTTATAATAAATGTGACCAATTTTCTTTTATCTTTTTTATATTGGCTCAAGTTCACTTCTGTCACTTGCAAAAAGAATAGTCCGATCAAATGTATTTATGAGGTCAGGTTCACCTTAGTCATACAGATATCTCAGAGTTTATGTGGCCTTTCAACTTTATGTTGGAGATCTGTTTCTAAACATTATGTTAAATGGCTTATGCAATAATAATAGGGATGGTAGCCACTATTTATTGAGCACATGATATACTGCAGGCACTGTTTGAGGCATTTTATGCTCATTCTTAACATCCTCACATCCTGACAAGTGTCCTTGTACATAAAGGTATTGATGCTCAGAGAAGTAACTTTCCTGAGCCTGTTCAGGTAGTAATGATCCAAGGATAGGCCGATCCCTCTGTCTCCAGAGCTCAATCCACTAGGATGTGGTTTTTTCAAGTTATGATCTGAGGGTTTTCTGGATTAAATATACGCTGGGTATTGCTAAATATTCAAATTCCTGAATCCCTGTTTTAAACAGACTGATTTAAACTTTCTGGGGTTGGGACTGGAGGTTAGAATTCAGGAATCTAGTTTAGACAAATTTCTTGCCTAACTCTTCTCCAGGCTGTTAGTTTAAAACCATGGGAGCTTCCCAGTGAAATCTGGAACTGTGTCCCATACACAGAGGGCAGGGAGAGACCATGAAAAGAGACCCTAGACCACTCCAGGTTGGTAGGTGGCAGTTTTAATAAGCAAAGGAACACACATGCAAGGTTTGTCTTGGGTGGCCACAAGACTAGGAATCTCTGTATCTTTCTCTCCTTTTAAAAAACTGAAATGTAGTTGATGTACAATATTATATAAGTTACAGGTGAACAATACAGTGATTCACAATTTTTTTTAATTTACAGTTTTTTATACATATAAATTTTATATATCTTAAAAATTTTTTTAATTTAAATTTTAAATTTTTATATATAAATTTTTTTCTATTTATAGTTATTATAAAATACTGGCTATATCTCCTGTGTTGTGCAATATATCCTTGATGCTTATTTTGTACATGATTGCTTGTACCTCTTAATCCCCTACCTCTTGCCTCTACCAACTTCCCTTTCCCTATTGGTAACCACTAGTTTGTTCTCTATATCTGTGAGTCAGCTTCTTTTTTGTTATATTCACTAGTTTGTTGTATTGTTAAGATTCCATATATAAGTGATATCATATAGTATTTGTATTTCTCTAATGTATTTCACTTAGCATAATGCCTTCTATGTTGCTGCAATTGGCAGAATTTCATTCTTTTTATGGCTTAGTAGTATTCCATTGTCTGCCTGATAAGGCAGGAAACATGGGTTCGATCCCTGGGTTGGGAAGATACACCAGAGAAGGAAATGGCCACCCACTCCAGTATTCTCACCTGGAAAACCCTATGGACAGAGGAGAGTGGCAGGCTACAGTCCATGGGGTCACAAAAGAGTCAGACAGGACTAGCAACTGAGCACACACACAGTATTCCATTGTATATATTGACATATACACCTTATCTTTTTTATTCATTCATCTGTTGATGGACACTTAGGTTGCTTCCATGTTTTGGCCATTGTAAAGAAAGCTGTTATAAACATTGGGGTACACTTATCTTTTTGAACTAGCATTTTTGTTTCTTTCAGATATATATCCAGGAGTAGAATTTCTAGGTCAGGTGGTAGTTCTAATTTTAGCTTTTTGAGAAACCTCTGGACTGTTTTCCACAGTGGCTATACCAATGTACATTCCCACCAACAGTACACTAGGGTTCCCTTCCTCTATATCCTCCCCAACATTTGTTATTTATATTCTTTTTGATGAAAGCCATTCTGACAGATGTGAGGTGAAATCTCATTGTGGTTTTGATCTGCATTTCCCTGATGATTATCAATGCTGAGCATCTTTTAATGTGCCTGTTGGCCACCTGAATTTCCCCTTTGGAAAAAATGTCTATTCAGTTTTTCTGAACACTTTTTAATCAGAAATGTTTCTTTTTGTTTTTGCTTTTTTTGATGTTGAGTTGTATGAACCGTTTATATATGTTGGATATTAACCCCTTATCAGTCATATTATTTGCAAATATTTTCTACAATTCAGTAGGTTGTCCTCAATGTCTTCCTTTGCAGTGCAAAAGCTTTTAAGTTTAATCAGGTCCCATTTGCTTATTTCTGTTTTTATCTTCTTTGCTTTAGGAGACAGAATCTTAGAAGAATGTATAGAGGCCTTAATTGAGTTTAGTCATGTATACCATCCAGATGGTCTCAACACCACATTACTCTCTGAAGGTTGCATCCCTGCAATCACTCCAGCTATGAAAATGGTGGGCAGAATATATATTCCAAGAAGGAGGGAGTGAGGAATCTCCAATTGCCTGGGTTCAGCTCACAGATCAACCAACAGGCAGTCATGCCCTCCTAATGGAGGACCAAAACAGGCTAGAGCCTGGAAGGCACAGCTTCTCCTCTCAGAAGTTGTCCTATGTTTAGTATAGTTAGCTTACCTGTGGCTAATGCCAAGGGCATTTTTTACTGGAGTCAGGAGTAGTGTAAGGACAAAAACCTTTTTAATATGAGGCCTAGTTCTTCCTGTAGAAAATAATAGAAGAGAATCTCCTACCTCCTTTTTCTTAGAACAATGACTTTAGAAAATGTATAATCGTTAAGTACTTTCTCCTTCCCTGGTGGTTCAGATGGTAAAAGCGTCTGCCTGCAATGCAGGAGACCTGGGTTTAATCCCCGGGTCAGGAAGATCCCCTGGATAAGGAAATGGCAACCCCCTCCAACATCTTGCCTGGGAAATTCCGTGGATGGAGGAGCCTGGTGCCTACAGCCCATGGGGTCGCAAAGAGTCAGACAAGACTGAGTAACTTCACTTTCACTTTCTCCTTCTGAGATGTATATAAATCCTTCTGAAAATGAGATAGGCCATCTGTCAGCTCTAGGACCCAGAAATGTCTTTCTCAAAGGACCTGGGAGCCATCCCTTTGAAAGGCAAATATCTCGGGAGGTAGCACCCCTCCCTCCCAGTTTCTGTGAGAAGGTCTGAGCCTAACCTCATTGGGGTGGGGTGGGGGGAGCAGAAAAGGAGGGCTTCTCCAATCTGCAAAGCTACTTCCTGTCATAAAGACATGAGGCCTGTTTTCTTCTGGATCAAGCCAAGATGCTAACACAGACGGTTGCCCCAGTTACCAGATAAAGTTGGGATGAACTATTTGTGGCAGCTGGCTCCATTAAGTCCTCTTCCTTGATGACTAGCTATTGTCTGTCTCAGAACATGTATGGAGTGGGTAGTATCTGCTGGGTTATGTAAGAAGTGAGATGCCTTCCTGTCTTTGCAGTCTCTTAGTGGACTACCTGATATATACATCACATCCTGGCTTAATGCTTATTTAATAATAAAACTGTTTTATTTCTCTACTACTTTTGTGAAGAGGTTTTCTGGGTTGGGAGAAGATTTGGTTTTTAATTATATTGACCACCTGACCTGCCTCTTGAGAAACCTGTATGCAGGTCAGGAAGCATCAGTTAGAATTGGACATGGAACAACAGACTGGTTCCAAATAGGATAAGGAGTACGTCAAGGCTGTATATTGTCACCCTGCTTATTTAACTTATATGCAGAGTACATCATGAGAAACACTGGGCTAGATGAAGCACAAGCTGGAATCAAGATTGCTGGGAGAAATACCAGTAACCTCAGATACACAGATGACACCACCCTTATGGCAGAAAGCGAAGAAGAATTAGAGTCTCTTGATGAAAGTGAAAGAGGAGAGTGAAAAAGTTGGCTTAAAGCTCAACATTCAGAAAACTAAGATCATGGCATCTGCTCCCATCACTTCATGGCAAATAGATGGGGAAATAATGGAAACAGAGATTTTATTTTGGGGGGCTCCAAAATCACTGCAGATGGTGACTACAGCCATGAGATTAAAAAACGCTTACTCCTTAGAAAGAAAGTTATGACCAACCCAGACAGCATATTAAAAAGCAGAGACATTACTTTGCCAAGAAAGGTCCATCTAGTCAAGACTATGGTTTTTCCAGTGGTCACGTATGGATGTGAGAGTTGGACTATAAAGAAAGCTGAGTGCTGAAGAATTGATGCTTTTGAACTGTGGTGCTGGAGAAGACTCTTAAGAGTCCCTTGGACTGCAAGGAGATCCAACCAGTCCATCCTAAAGGAGATCAGTCCTGAGTGTTTATTGGAAGGACTGATGTTGAAGCTGAAACTCCAATACTTTGGCCACCTGATAAGAGCTGACTCATCTGAAAAGACCCTGATGTTGGGAAAGATTGAAGGCAGGAGGAGCAGGGGATGACAGAGGATGAGATGGTTGGATAGTATCACTGACTCAATGGACATGAGTTTGGGTAAACTCCAGGAGCTGGTGATGGACAGGGAGGCCTGCCATGCTGCAGTCCAGGGGGTCATGAAGAGTTGGACACGACTGAGCAACTGAACTGAACTGAACAGTACTAAACAGTAGCAATATTCTTACTCTATAAGATAAAAGAAAAATTATTTTGATTCTTCCTAAATCAGTTCAGTAGAATATATTCCTGAGAAAATGTTATTATTCATGACCATATTAAGAGTAAAGGTAGCAAGCTCAAACACAAGAGGTATAGGTTATCTTAAGCCTCATCTCATACTTGCTGCATGTTCTCCCTTACAATGAAGATAAATACCCCCAAAAAGACCACCTCAGTTTGGTCATCTATGAGCTGGGATGCCACAGTGACAAAACCACATGGCAGGTTTAAGGCACTTCCTCACAGAAGGTTCCTGTGAAAGTGATTATCCATGATAAGATCAAGTTAAAATGATTCTGGAAACCATACTTTTAAAACCTCATATCAGGAAATAACATAGAATAGAAATAAGATAATAGAGTCTAGAAAGGTTAAAACTGACAATTTCCACCCACAACATCCTTTCCCGCAAAGCCGCCATGGCAGACTATCCTATAAACACTGAACAGGCCCAAAGTCCCAGTATCATCACCTCAGGTGGTGGGTCAGGATTGACAAACCTACCCAACAAGGAACTGGGGGATGCAGAGTCGGGGACACACAGGTTCCTGTGGAAAATAAGTCCATTCCATCAAGGATATAAAAACTGGCTTTTTCTGGAATTACTGAAAGATGATTTCTTCCTTCTGCCATTCTAGGGTTTTCACCTGCAAGGCAGATAAGGAAAAAGTTAAAGGAATCTAAAGAAATGGGAATCAAGAAGCTACTAGGCAATGGAATAGGATGGAAAACCCAGAAATAAGCCAATGGAGGCAAGACTACACGATGCTGGGAAGACAGTCTCTTCAACAAATGGCATTGGGAAAACTGGACAGCCACATGTAAAAGAATGAAATTAGATCATCAATTAACTCCATAAAAAAATAAGCTCAAAATGGATTAAAGACCTAAATGTTAGATCAGACATTATAAAATTCTTAGAGGAAAACATAGGCAGAACACTCTCAGACATAAATCACAGAAAAAAATTTTTTAATCCATCTCCCAAAATAATGGAAATAAAAGCAAAAATAAACAAATGGGACCTACTTAACCTCAAAAGCTTTTGCACAGCAAAGGAAACAATAAACAAAACAAAAAGACAACCCACAGATTGGGAGAAAATATTTACAAATTATATGACTGATAAGGGATTAAACTCCAAAATTTATAAACAACTTATGACACTTAATAGCATCAAAATAAACAACCCAATGGGCAGAAACAACCCAACAACTCAATGGGCAGAAGACCTGATAGACAGTTCTCTAAAGGGGACATACAGATGGCCAATAGGCACTTGAAAAAATGTTCAAAATCTCTAGCTATTAAAGAAATGCAAATCAAAACTACAATGAGATATCACCTCATACAGATCATAATGGCTATCATCAAAAAATCCACAAACAAATTCTGGAGAAGATGTGGAGAGAAGGGAACCCTCCTGCTCTGTTCGTGGGAATGTAAATTGACACAGCCACTATGGAGAACAGTATGGACGTTCCTTAAACTAAAAATAGAGCTACCATAGGACCCTGCAATCCCACTCCTGGGCATATATCCAGAGAAAAACATGGCGCAAAAGGATACATGCATCTGAATGTTCATTGCAGCACTGTTCACAATGGCCAAGACATGGAAACAGCCTAAATGTCCATCGACAGAGGGATAGATAAAGAAGATGTGGCGGGGGGGGGGGGGGGGTTGTATTACTCAGTCATTGAAGAGAATGAAATAAGGCCATTTTCAGCAACATGGATGGACCTAGAGAGTGTCATACTGACTGAAGTAAGTCAGAAAGAGAAGGAGAAATATCATTTGACATCTCTTATATGTGGAATTTAAAAAGAAATGATAAAAAATGAACTTACAAAACAGAAAGAGACTCACAGACTTAGAAAACAAACTCATGGTTGCTGGGGGAAGGGATAGTTAAGAACTTCAGGAAGGTCATATACACACTGTTATATTTAAAATGGATAACCAACAAAAACCTATTGTGTAGCATATGAACTCTGCTCAGTATTATGTGCCATCCAGGATGGGACGAATGTGTTTCTATCCTGAAAAGAAGTGTGTCTCAGTTACATGTATATGTATGGATAAATGTATTATATGTATGACTGAGTCCCTTTACTCTTCACCTAAAACTATCACAACATTGTTCATTAGCTATACCCCAATACAAAATGTTTTTGGTTTTAAAGAAAATAAAGAATAAAAATTTTTTTAAAAGAAAATAAAGAAAGATACTAGGGTTTTATGTTTGCAGTTTTGTTTTTGTCTTTTTTGCCTTTCGGTCATTTTGTTTCTATTATTCTCCTCGTGGTAAGTTTAAAATGTTTACATTTATAAGCAAATTATGAAGGAAGGAAGAAAACAGCACCAACCTCATTTTTTCATTTAAAATTACCTGCAGCCAAAAGTAATGCTTAAGTTCCGTGTTTCTTAGTGCTTTCTATTAAATGTATAAAAGACATAACAATAATCAAAGCTTCTTTACTAAAAAGCCTGAATTTGTGTTTTCACTCAATTGTGAGTTAGTTAAAGCATAAATCCTGAAAGAAAACTTCACCTATGCTTTTAAACACAGGAATGGACCACGTGCCTGGGGAATTCTCCCCAGTCCTTCAGTCATTTCTAGTAGAACACTCTAAGTCTGGGTCTTTGTCATTGAGGGTAAGGCTGACAGCTCATTGTAGATTTCCATTTAGATGAATGTGCTTCTATCCTGAGAAAAAGTGTACTGCCCCAGCTGCATTAATGTTTCTGGCTAGTCCTCAACAGCTCACAACTGACTAAAGAGAGAAACACAGTCAAACTGTCCAGCCGCTGCTCAGGACAACGTCAGTAATGGGGCCACTCTGGACATTTGGAATATAATTGCAAACTTCAGTCAAGCCAGTAGAAAATAGAAGACCAGATAGGAAAATAAATAACTTGTTACATAGAACTCCTTAGTTGAGTTCAACATGGCTGCCTCCAAAGCAGGAGCGAGAAATTACCCTGAAAGGGGTCTAGATTAACACTCCTTTCTAAGTCATGAGAAGGCTTTTCTCATACTGAATGCATGGCCAACCTCCACTCTGGAAAGGTAATGTAAATGCCAAGGTAAGCTTTTATAACTGTCAAAGAGCCAAGCATGAGCAGCACACAGCAGATGGCAGCTCTCGCCTATACTGACGCAAGTGTGGTCCTGGTGAAGAGGTGCCCCTGGGAAGTACATGGTGACAAACTGTGTCTGCAGGATCCCCAGTCTGTCTTACTCCCACCTCCTCACAACTACCTCCAGCCTTCAATCCCCAAAATATGAGACAAACCAACTGGTCATAGTTCTAATTTATTGCTACTGGGGAGGAAACATGGTAGAACAAGAGAACATTAACATAAGATGAGGCTGAAATTAAAAGTCAGTGTGTAGACACTATACTTACTGAAGGAGTCTTTGGGCCTAGAAAAGAAAACAACGGTCTCAAAGGCCCTTGCTGAATCATCTAACTTCAGAGAAAACAAAACCGAACTTTAGGTCCTGCCCTGATGTTCCAGGCCGGTTGGATCCACCTGGGGCTTATCACTTCCTGCCCAGAAACCTCCTACCCCCTACATCTGCCAGGGACTTATCACCCCCTGCCCAAAACCTCCCACCCCCTCTTCAACCATAAATGCCATCTCAACTAAAGTATACCCAAAATGTGCCTCCTGACTAATGTTTCCCTTATCGCTTCCACAAACCTCCCTTTAAATATGACGCCTCCCAGATCCGTCTCGTGCTCAGCCTGGTTGTTAGGCTGACTGTCACCCCTCCTTGCCTGAATAAAGGTAACCTACCTCTGTTGAGGTTGTCTGTCCTTTTCTGCCTCAGCCCGAACTATACCTTACACTTACCTGCTACCGATGATGAAACCTGTGTTTCCTTTCTACTGGGTAGAGGTCTGATACTAACTGAATCCTTTTATCAGACATTATCTCTGACTCGCTAATGTTGAGGATTTAGAGATTTGCTTTGCTTTTCATTTTAAACACAAAGAGCATCTGTTGGCTGAAATAATTGCCTATTACTGACACCCCATTTTCCCTTCTATTATCAGCCCAAAAAGTTTTGTGTGGCTGCCACGGGCAGAAAGCCTCTGCTGTTCACTCTGCAGCCATCAAAAGGTTTTGGAACTGAGCTCAGAGGGAGCCTGGGGAACGAGGTAAGCCTGCTGGTCTCCATGTAGGAGTGCACTGGAAGAGGAAGTGCCCCTGAAGACAGGAACTGCAACATGAGTTCTCATGTTTCCCCACTTACCAGGTGGGGTTCCTGGTTCCTGCTGTGCTTGGGATCACAGTGGGAATAAAGTTGGAAGAACTGTGCTCTGAAGTACTTCCCAACGGCCTTTCCCTGTGGCTTCTGATGGCAAAAATGACAGGAAAAATAAACTGTGGGCACACATGTGTAAGCAATGTGTATTTCTCTTTCTGGTTAATTAAAACCTTAATTTTGATTGGGGTGGAACTATGTTCCCATCCCATGGAATGAATTTTGATTGTGTAAATCAATCATGGCCACCCACTGTCGACTTTCCCAGACATTCTTACGCTGAGGGGAATCTCTGTCGTGGTAATGACTTGTCTAAGGCAGAGGCCTTTTGGGAAAGTTTCACTTTTCTAGTAAGTGAGAAAAATGTGTTTGGCACTATCCTTTTCTCCCCCTTTTCTTCCTGCCTTGAACACAGATATGGCATCATAAGCTTGGACATTTTGCTACCATGAAAAAACAAAGAGGCTGAGAGAATCATCGACATGCCAGCTCTAACACTGAGTCACTGAGCTAACAACGCCGGCTTGTTACATGGGGAAAATGTGCCAATAGTCTGGATTTCCGTTGTTCACAGAAATAATTTCTGAGTTAAAAATATCTGCTCATCTTCTATGGCTTTGAGAATGGAGCAGTTTCTCTTGAGGAATACCAGTCCTTAAATTGTCTTCCTGTTTATTTGGGATTTTTCTTATAATCCATTATTTTTTCAGTTTTATAATACATCAGGTCCACAAGAACTTGTCCTCATGAAGGACCAACCCATAAAGAGATGACAATGGTGTTTTACCCTCACAACTCAAGACAAGAGAAATTACATTGGTCCACCTGCCTGGGTCCCCGCTGGTCACACCCAGAAAAATGGTTTTCACAACTGGTTAACATCATAGTGTGGCAGGAGGCTCAGGTACAGAAGGAAAAGTTACTCTCCATAAAAACAGACTCAGAGAGATGCCAATAAGGAGGTGGTGGATCTTAAAATCACAGTGTCACAACAGTAAAGTTTGTGCAAGCGTAGTCTCTCATAGAGGGAAGAAAAATTTGCCAGACTAAATGAAAGGCTGATATCTTTCAACAATTGATGAAATTGAGGAAAGACAGGCAGTTCTCCAGGGCCCAATGATCATTCACAGGCAAATGAGCTCCTCATCTGGTTACAGGCAGTCTTGCCTTGATCATACACAACTATCAAGTGGCCACCCCGATTCCATGGCCTGTCTGAGAGAGACACCAGAAGAGTTAGATACTGTGTGCTCTAAAAAACATTGCCAGAGCATAGTAAGTGTTCAATAAATATTTGATCAATGTATACCACATTTTCTGACTTAAAAAAAAGAGAATGCCCCTGCAAAGTGAT